TGTGCGAGTGTTGAAGTGATTAGCAGCAGAAAATAGCAGGGCAGCTGTAGGGGGAATAGAGGTGGGAGTGGAAGCTGGACAGCATGAGGGGCTTTTAATAAAGCTGACCTTTCTATGGTGGGCTTGTTATGAAAAAAATGCTGCTTGTGGGGATAAAATGAAAGGCAAGGTGGAATGAAAACATTTGAATCCTAGCCTTAAATGGGCTGATAGAATATTGGCTATGGAATTTATCTAAGCCTGGGGTGGTTTAATAACACAGTTGTTCCCTAAATTAGACTGAAGGGAGTTAATCTCAGTTAATCAGTGACAGCTAGCTGGGAATGTTGGTGGATCAATAGATGTGATCTATCTAACATTTTCCAACAATATCTACCAATAAAGGTTTATCATCTAACAACGTATCTAGTAAAGCATATTTCTTTAATGTTAGCTAGCTAGTTTTCTTTTTTTTTTCTTCCTTTTTTAGTTCTTCTACCGTAGCTAGTTCTATTTGGAAGTTGCTTTTCTACATTCCCTACTAATTTCAGATGATGCTTTGTATTCCAGTATAAATCTGAGCTGTAGATTTCCCTGCATATAAATAGTCTACACACGCCTGTTAAAATGGCAGGTTTTTGTGATGTAAAAAAAAATGAAACCAAGATAAATCATGTCAGATCTTTTTCCACCTTTAAAGTGAAATCGCAAAGTATACAAATAAAGTAAAAGAAACTTTATTTAGGGAAAAAAGGGGGCAAAAAGTTGCATAAGTATGCACACCACTAAACTAATACAACTAAACTATCATCTTGGCACATCTTAACTTGGTGATATTTTCCCACTCTTTTTTTGCAAATACATTCTAGATCCATCAAATTGTAAGGGCATCTCCTGTGTACAGCCCACTTCAGGTCACCCCACAGATTTTTAGTTGGATTCAGGTCTGGGCTCTGGCTAGGTCATTCAGAAAAATTGATCTTCTTTTGGTTAAGCCATTCCTTTGTTGATTTTGATGTATGCTTCCGGTCATTGTTGTACCGAAAGGTGAAATTCCTTTTCATCTTCAGCTTAGTAGCAGACACTTGAAGGTTTTGCACTAAAATCGACTGGTATTTGTAGTTATTCATGATTCCCTCCACCCTAATAAACGCACCAGTTGTGGCTGAAAAAAAGCAGCCCTAAAGCATCATGCTGCCACCACCATGCTGTGCTATGGGTATGGCGTTCTTTTGGTGATGTGCTTTTTTTTTTTTGCACCAAACATACCTTTTGGAATTATGGAATTATTAAACCTTTGGAATTGGTCTGATCAGACCATAACACATTTTGCCACATGGTTTGGGGTGATTTAGTTGAGCTTGGATGTTTTTGGTGAGAAAGGGCTTCCATCTAGCCACCCTACCCCATAGCCCAGACATGTGAAGAATCCGAGAGATTGTTGTTATATGCAGAGAGTAATCAGTACTTGTCCGATATTTCGACAGCTGCTTTAATGTTGCTGTAGGTCTCTTGGCAGCCTCCCTGGTAAGTTTTTGTCTTGTCCTTTTGTCCTGTTCTTGGTGATGTGACTGTGGTGCCCCATTTTCTCTATTTGTTGATGATGGCCTTTACAGTGTTCCCTGGTACATCTAATGTTTTGGAAATTCTTTTATACCCCTCTCCTGATCGATATCTTTTTACAGGCTTTGTCAGATCTTTGCGGACCATGGCTTCAGCAATCGGATGAAAACAAGATGTGAAGAAAATCCTACAGAAACAGCTGATCTTTATTTGGGATTATTTAATCAGAATAATTTCATTGATGATAGGTGTATGAGAATTACTTTTGAACATGAGATTGAATGTTCATTCTGAGCACAGCCCACCAGTGGTGTGCACACTTATGCAACCAGGTCATTGTAACTTTTTTATTTTTACCATTTTCCCTAAAATGTTTCTGATTGTTTTTCTCTTAATTTTTATACGTTGTAATTTCACACTGAGGGTGGGAAAAGTTCTGACATGATTGATCTTGGCTTCATTTTTTTACATCACAAAAACCTGCCATTTTAACAGGGGAATGTAGATTTTTTATATCCATTGTATGTCATAAATGGCATGTTTTATATCCCAATATATTTAGGTGATAATTAATTAATTAATTCATGTCTGTGAGGTGTTTTCTTTTCAACAGCTTGAGTTGTACGCATCATTAAAAAAAAACATGCAGTCTCAATGCTGCCAGATTAATTCTTAATGCACTGCTTAACCTAACTGTAGCTTGGAATACTAATAAGCACATAAACCGTGCAGGCAAAGATACAGAAATACTAATTCTGTAAAATGTATATTTTAAAAAAAAGATCTCTAACACCTTCAGGATATTTCTCAAATATTCAGCCATGGAAATGAATAAAATATAAATGCTTGGAACTATGCTTGGAAGCTTGTGAAGTACTCAAGTAATTTTCAGTTTGTCATTGCAAAAACACATACAGTAAATAAAATAATAAGAAACAAATTGGGCTACTCATATTAAAATAAAGTTAATTTAATTGTTACAGGTCTTGTTACAGATACCACAGGCAAAATGTAAATATGCTCCAGCTCTGCTGATGAAATATATGGCTAAAAAGCGGTCATACATTCTACCCATGTGGCCGAACGTTCACATTAAATTTATGAAAGGTTTTACAATTAGATTTGTGGTATACACATGTTTTTTTTCTTTCTATAATACTGGTTTGCAAATGAATGGTCTCTCAAAGTTTGTGAGAGAAAAACTTCAGTAATGAGTGCATAGCTCTGTCTTGGTAAGATTTCCCATACAAAGCTAATTACAGTGGTTCGCTCAAACTTCAAAAATTAGTTCCCATTTCCACAGCTCCTCTGTCCAAATTACTTCAGCTAAAGTTCTAAGCCTCATTGAGCGTTTTGTCTGCAATTAAGCCAGTGATCATTTGATGGAAACATTTGATCACTTGCCTCTAAATTTGCTTAGGTGAAGAGATTTGAAGTCAATCAAATAGAAACTCACTAATCTACTCCTCATCAAATCCTGGGTTTCTTAGGCTGTGTTTAATGTGTGTAGGAGAAGATTAAACTTGTTGGTATTCGCCTGATAAATATGATCAACACTGTTATCTCAACATGTCTGTAAAGTGGATTATCTGCATTATCTTATAAACCATCAATATCTTATTAATATCTTATAAACCATAAGATAAAAGTCTGCACAGAATATCTAAGAAAATATGAATTGTTTTTCTTCTTCCACATTGCCAAGCAAAACGGCTTCATCTTTTTTAATAATAGTCATTATCTAGTATGTAATCAAAGCATCAGAGCAAGCAGTTAATGGCTATTCAAATGGGTATTCAAGTGCTCACTGTTGTGACACCAGTTTTGTCCTTTATGCAGTTGTTAGGCAAAAGTCATTGCATACTTCAAAATCTGAGGTGGAAAACACCAGGTTGCCGCTTTACTTTACCTTTGTAAACTCAAGCACCTCCTTAAATGGAAAGAAGTAGATGTACATAATGAACAGTAAAGTCAGAAATAAAACATGACATCATGTGCTGTTATTGTCTAAAAATCAATGATGGGGTGGTGTGATGTGCCCCAACATGAAGTGGATTTCCCGTTACCACCAGGAAGTTGATTATTTTCCAATAAGCACACAACCTGAAGCATTTTATTCCTCTAATAGCACAGCAATCTGCCAACTATTTTTTAAAAAGTAATTTAAGAACAATCAATTTTCAATCGATTTATCATTACGTTAAAAGTTATGGAACATTTGCTATACAAGTTCCTATTATCACTTACACTATAGCAGCTACTGGATAAACAGCCTCGATTTTTTTCTTTTTCTTGAAGTTAATACGACAAAAAAATGCAGCTTGTTGCAGAGAAACCTCAAAGCCTTCCATCCTGAAGACTTTCCCATGTTGGAAAACGTAAAAACTTCCACTGTTACCCTTGACTGTTACAAAGCACTGACTCTAGAGATTCCTTCTATAAATGCTAAATAAATATCTCCTTACAGAATACTTGATATGTATATGATACCATATCAACATTTACATTTTTTTTTATCTGTTTATGTGGAGCATTCACTGTACAAGGCCCTGTGTAAGATCCTTCTGTAGAAATGATCATTTATTAAAATGAGTGCCTTAATATAAAACTGTGATTTGCATTCAGTCCAGTCAGAATTGAAAATTCAAAGTTATAATAAGAATAAAACTCTGGGGATCCAATATAAATCTGACCTACTTGCCTGCATTACCACCAACCCATTCCCCATTCTATCATGCCCCATGCTTTAGTGTTCCAAGTATTGGATCTCATTATCCAGCTTGCACATGGGTAAAGTTCAGCCATGGTCACACTGTATCCCCTACGGTGTGTCTTCTCCAAGGTTTTTGTTGATGGATGCGGCAAAAAGAACTGTAGTGCTTACTAAGGACTACAGAAAGAAAACTGGTAGATATTTTTTTTCAAGCAATGCATTTCAGTGGAGTGATTGATGAGGTGCTTATTCTTGACCTGGGGATTTGATCTTGTGGCCTGCTTATAATCCTTGCTCTACTGTACCTCAGTCCCAGCAGTTTGTATCTTAAGGTTCTGCAGATTTGGTCACGTAGACAATAATGTTCATTCGGATATTTTCCCTTCTGCCAATCCCATTAATTTGCTGCATTCCATGCTTGATTTGACCTTACCCTGCTTGCTTCTTACCCATATATTATCAAACTGAAAATTAATTACCTGATGGATTACAGGATTACACCTTTGTCAATGAGATGACGTTAACAATGGCTCTGATCCACAAGAAAAATGATCGGCTACATATTTTCACTCTCTCCCTTTCAAACTCTGTGCTCTTAATATTTCTAGTATTCAATTCTTTTCTTCATTATTTCTTCAGCGGTATTGCAAACTCTGTTTAGAAGTATGAGGCACATAGGAATTCGCCTATGTAATCCAAGACTTAGCATCAAAATAACAAAAATATTGGCAATATACTGTTAGGGTCCCTGGAGGATTAGTGGTTGGGCCATGGCGCTTTCAGCACTGCAGCCTGGGTTTGATTCCCGGCCAGGGAACCAACCCCAGCTACTGGATTTGCACACAACAGTGCTCTCCCAGTGCCGGTCCCTAACCTGGATAAAATTGGGGAGGGCTGCGTCAAGAAGGGCATCCAGCGTTAAAAAACTGTGCCAAATCAAATAATGACCAATGATCTGCTGTGGCGACCCCTAACAGGAGCAGACGAAAGAAGAACAACAACAACAAGATTGGCATTATTTTGTTAATTTGAAAGAGAGAATTGGGAGCATGATAAATTAGATTTCATCCCACATACTCTTTTTAATTTTATGACTTTTGTTTAATATCTTGTGGCTACATTAAGTTATGTGCGCACCAGATATATTGATAAAGCAAAAATAATAGGATATGCTGGATCAAATACTATTTTCTAAGCTTCAGAATAATGACAGTGGAAGCCATATTGTTAAATATTACCAAATTTGCAATATTTACAACTAGGACTATATTGGCAATATACAAGCCATCTTCTCAGTCATATACAGTATCAGCATAGTTGTCTTTTTAAAAATTTTTTCAATTTTAAATTGTTTGTTGCTGTTATGTTACACCATGTTACATTTGACTGCAGCGCTTTGGCCTTCACGACAGCTAAACTAAAAAAGAAAGCGATAAGTTCAGTGTACCCATCTTCTTTGTTAATCTCCTTCAAGAGACCATGGATCTTTATACGTTCTTGTTTCACAGCACCTTTGCCAAATTAGATGTGCTTATTCTATCTGATCATCTACAACCCCAAGCTCTGCTCAAATGGACTTGTAGACTGAAATGTGCACATGCTTAGCATGCTTTTAAAAACAAGGTATTCAACATTTTCAAACTGCTGTAGTTTCTGAAGTATGCCTTTGATAGCTGTGCCATGAGTTGATTGGATTGGGATAAACACTGACAGGCAGTTATGAGAGAATATCTAATGCAGTAAAGGAGACTGGGAGGCACGGACCTGCTAAAGGGCATGCTTGTGCTGCATTCAACCTAATCAAGTTTCAGCTGTCAAAAATGACTTATATCCTGAGCTGTAAGCACGCTCCCAATGATTTTACACAACAGGAAGGAGTCTGAGTTCAGAGTGAAATGCAGGCTAATGCAATTGAATACAGTAACTATAGATCATAATATAGAGTTATTAAAAATGATGAACTTTCTAAAAATGTTTTAAAAAAATTCATATTGTATTGCATACATTTTTAGTCTGTTTCAACCTAGACTGTTTAATACATTTTTCCTTTTCTTTTTTCCTGTTTGCCCCTGTGGGCTTCTCTTCTATTTGTGTCAGAGCAGGGCTCATCCTCTCTCTCGCGTTTTCATTTCTCAAGTTCCCTTAGTGCGCACAGCATTACTGACATGTCAAAACACAAAGATCAGAGAGAGAGAGGAGCAGACAACTTTTTTGCAGTGTTTCTTAGATGCTCAGTTTGCGAGAATAAATTGTGTGAGTCACTCAGGCTGTTTGAAATCATGTGTCTGTCACGGTAACTGACGCATCTTGTCAACTGCACAATAGCATTTGATCTGTGGTGTGCGGAAAGGGTCACAGTGTACAAGTAAAAGGTACAATTATGCCTTGAATATCCTTGAATATCAAATAAAGATTGATAGAATGCCATAGTCATGAAGAATGGATGTCAGTATAGCTTGCTGCAACATTGTTGATAGTTGAGAAAGAAAAAGTCAAAGCATTGTAAAGCACCAACCATAATGTAATTCAACTCAATTTTATTTGTATAGCACTTTAACAATAGACATTGACACAAAGCAGTGTTACAGAAATCTGAATGCAGATTTAGATCCTGAATGAGCAAGACTGATGAGTCAGTAGAATGAAAAACTTCCTGAGATGACATGAGGAAGAAGCTTTGAGAGGAACCAGACTCTTTTGTGGGAAACTAGATAGTGGAATTGTAAATCCTAACAGTATACAGTTCCTACTGAAGCTATCATCCATAAAAAGCAATGCTAAAGTGTTTTTAGTCAAGTTTCCCTGTACTGTACGAGTCTCTATTCCTTCCTTAAGTAGACACGTTAATATCTAATATCTACCAATGAGGAGGAGGTGATTAATTTTATTGGTGGGGCCATGCTCTGTTCATGCACTTCTTTGTCTCAGTGTTTCCATGAATATAGACTACAATTATTATAATCTTAACACTATTTAATTTCAAAGGCGGACCTTATTATAATTTAAAATGCCTTAAAAATGCCTATCTAATTACTGGTGTAACTTCTTCAAGATAGTCTTGTATGACTAAGAACCTTTACAGGCAGTGTGTCTCTTTCAATCTTTTTTGCCTTGTGGTAACTTTATTATGACCATTGATGAATTCCGAACAAGAGCAGCTGCGCCACATCAATACCCTGAAGGCAGGTTGAAATTTTTCTACTTTCCCTTCGATTTGTGTGCCATGACCACAAGACCAAGCTGCCAATTCAGGAGCTTGGGTGACCAACACCCACAGTCCTGAGGGGTGAACCGTGCCGAGTTGCAATGTCTGAGCAAAATGAGTAAAATTCACCCTGGTAGTCACAGGAGGTGTGCACTAAATGAATGTGTATATCAGAAGGATCTAGAACAGGAATTGCCTTTTTTTTTAGGATAGTATTCTATGTTCGTACTTTCTGAAAGGACATCGTTTGACATGTCACAGCATAACCATGTGAATTCTCTTGGCAGTGAAATGTAGCTCTGGCATAAACATGTGACTGCACACAGTGATTGTGTAAAATTTAACATTAAAAAAGACCCACTGGAAACCTTTCATCTATTGTGTCTTTCAATTTATTTGTTTTCACTCTGTCAGATTTGATTATGTAGTTTTTGTAATCACAAATGCTGCTTCACAATATTTCTCCAGCATTGTTTATTCCCTTGGTTTTAGGCCAATTATAGTCTAGTTACACATATGTAATTCTGTAGCAATAGAATTAAACTTGCACTGTGGGATATTTCTCTTTTTTCAGTATAACGAATACGAGTTACAGCTTTTTTGTAACCTTATATTTTAGTACCCCCCCTGCCCCCAAAATAGCTCATTCCTGCATACTATTTCAATCCATATAGTCTGAATCTCAGCATCTATTTCACTGCAGCATCAGTGTAACTTCAAGATGGCACACACAAAATGTCACTCATAATTATGAGTTATTGGAAACCCACTGTATGCATTCAAAATGTGATAGGTGATGGCTGTGGTATCAAGATTAATGCCTTTTTCTCCACTGGGATTTAAGAGTCATCAGAGCAGTCCCCCTGCATCTTCAATCCTGCTTGCTATTAAAAAAATCATTCCAGAGGAAAGCTGATTAAAATTGATTTAGGGTTTGGGCATAACTGGATTTAATGATAAAAATGTCCAGGGGAATCACTGGATGTTATCTAAAGGTGAGACTGCCCATCTATTTTCTTAATGTAAAGAGATGATGGGAGGGTGGGTGTGGAGATTGCTTGTTATTCACAAGAAGATACAGATAGTAACAACCTCAAACTCCTCTGACACCTCCAACTCCCTGACAGGTTTCATTCTGCAGCAGTTTGCCAATATTCAGATACTGGAGAATGAAGAATGAAGTGTTGAAATCATCCAAAAAAGAGAGAGGTCTGAAAGGTGGAATGCCAGGGTTCTTGATGACATCAGATTCATTGGCTGAGATTTAAGACAAAAGCTTGCGTTTTTTTTGTTTTTGTTTTTTTGTCTAAAGCTTCTAGATCTCTTCCCGATCGCTCATCAAAATTGTAAAATATAACAAATATGTCTATCTGTCCTTACCAGTGAACTGTTAACTACGGGGACCCCTCAGGATTATCTTAAATCGCAATGTAAATATAGTTAAAATCCACAAAACATGTAATGATACATTACTGAAATGGTTGAGGAAATATTGTCAGTGATTCATCATCTTTTCAACAAAACTCACCCACCACCCAGTGAATCATCCAACATGGGTCATATATGATGAAAATGACACCTCTATGAGGTATTCTTTGTTTCCCACTGTGAAACAAGAGAAAGATGTATGCACATGCAACGTATTATACATAAGCTTGATTGATTTGATCCTTCTCTGTAGAGTGCTATCCCTGGCTTTAACAGGCAGGCTCTGCAGAGGTATTGACCCAAAATGTAATTGCTGTGTTTGTAAGGGCAACCTGACCTGTTTTTTCTTCTTGCCTTTTCAGGCCTTTGTACATGATCTACCATGGCCAAAGTGTTCTGCAGCCTCCTGCTTCTGGGAAGTACGGTGATGACAGCCACTGCATGCCCCAAGTACTGTGTCTGCCAGAACCTGTCTGAGTCTCTAGGAACCCTGTGTCCTTCTAAAGGCCTGCTCTTTGTCCCACCTGACATTGACCGTCGGACTGTCGAGCTGCGGCTGGGGGGGAACTACATTATCAGGATTACACAGCAGGATTTTGTCAACATGACAAGTCTTGTGGACTTGACGCTTTCCCGGAACACCATAAGCTCTATCCAGCCTTTCTCTTTTGTGGATCTTGAGACTCTACGCTCACTCCATCTGGACACCAACCGCCTAACTGAGCTTGGCCCAGATGCTCTGAGAGGTCTGGTCAACTTGCAGCACCTCATTCTGAATAACAACCAGCTGGGCCACATCTCCAAAGAGTCCTTTGATGACCTGCTGCTAACACTGGAGGATTTGGACCTGTCCTACAACAACCTGCAGAGTGTACCCTGGGAGGCCATTCGCAAGATGCTCAGCTTGCACCAGCTCAGCCTTGACCACAACCTCATCAGCCACATTTCTGAGGGAACTTTCACAGACTTGGACAAGTTGGCCAGGCTTGACCTCACATCAAACCGGCTCCAGAAGCTTCCACCAGATCCCATATTTGCACGGTCTCAGACCAATGTGGTGCTGAGTACACCATACGCTCCTGTGCTGTCTCTTAGTTTCAGTGGAAACCCACTTCATTGTAATTGTGAGATTTTGTGGTTGCGACGGCTCGAACGCGAGGATGACATGGAGACTTGCGCATCTC